AAGTTCAGCTATGTTCTTGCTGATTTTCTGCCTGCTGCATCTGTCCAGTTCTGAAAGAGGGGTGTTGAAGTCCCCAACTATAATAGCGCTTTCATCTGTTTCTCCTTACTGTTTTATCAGGCTTTGCCTAATGTATTTTGATGCTCTGTTGTTAGGCACATGCACACTAAGGATTTTTATGATTCTTTCTTGGAGTATTGACCCCTTTATCATTATGCAATGCTCTTCTTTAACCTTGCTCTGAAGGTGATATTGTCCTTGCTCTGAAGTCTGCTGTGTCTGAAATTTCCTTGCTCTGAAGTCTACTGTGTCTGAAATTAATTTAGCTACTCCTGCTTTCTTTTGATAAGTGTTAGTATATAGTATACCTTTCTCTACTCACTTATTCTAAATCTATATGCATCTTCATATTTAAACTAGGTTTCTTGTACACAACATATAGTTGGGTCTTGTTTTGTGCTGCACTCTGACAGTGTCTTAAGTTAGTGTATTTAGACTGTTGACTTTTATTTATTTTTAAAATTTATTTATTTTGTGGCTGGGTGCGGTGGCTCATGCCTGTCATCCTGCCACTATGGGAGGGCGAGGCGGGCGGATCACGAGGTCAGGAGAGCGAGACCATCCTGGCTAACATGGTGAAACCCCATCTATACTAAAGTATAAAAAATTAGCCAGGCGTGGTGGCAGATGCCTATAGTCCCATCTACTTGGGAGGCTGAGGCAGGAGAATAGCATGAACCCGGGAGGTGGAGGTTGCAGTGAGCTGAGATCGCGCCACTGCACTCCAGCCTGGGCGACAGAGCGAGACTCTGTCTCAAAAAAAAAAAAAAAAGTATTTATTTTTTTTAGAGACAGGGTCTCCCCCCGTTTCCCAGGATAGATTGCAATGATACAGTTATAGCACACTGCTGTCTCAAATTCCTGGGCTCAAGAGACCCTTTTGCGTCAGTCTCCCAATGTGCTGGGTAAATTATAGGCATGAGGCACCACATCTAACCTCGTGTGTGTGTGTGGTTTTTTTTTTTTTGAGGTGGAGTCTCACTCTGTAGCCCAGACTGGAGTGCAGTGGCACAATCTTGGCTCACTGCAACCTCCACCTCTTGGGTTCAAGCGATTCTTCTGCTTCAGCTTCCCGTGTAGCTGAGACTTCAGGTGCCCAACACCACACTCGGCTAATTTTTGTATTTTTAGTAGAGACGAGGTTTCACCATGTTGGCTAGCTGGTCTCGAACTCCTGACCTCAGGTGATCTGCCCACCTCGGCCTTCCAAAGTGCTGGGATTACAGGCACGAGCCTCTGTGCCCGGCCCTCTTTTGTGTTTTTTTATTAAGCATTTTACATGATTTTATTTTCTCTTCTTCTCTTAGCATATTGATTATACTTCTTTTTCTTGTGGTTGTCCTAAAGTTTGCAATATACATTTTTTTTTTTTTGAGATGAAGTCTTGTTCTGTCGCCCAGGCTGGAGTGAAGGGGCATGATCTCTCCTCACTGCAACCTCCACCTCCTGAGTCCAAAGGATCCTCCTGCCTCAGCCTCCAGAGTAGCTGGGATTACAGGCGCGCATGCTACCATGCCTGGCTAGTGGTTTGCATTTTTAGTAGAGATAGGGTTTTGCCATGTTGGCCAGGCTGGTCTCAAACTCCTGACCTTAAGTAATCCACCTGCCTTGGCCTCTCAAAGTGCTGGGATTACAGGCGTGAGCCACCACACCCAGCCTACATTTATAAATAATCCAACCCTACTTTCAAATAATACTGTGCCACTTCATATGTAGTGCAGGTACCTTATAATACAATATTTCTTATTATTTTCTCCAGTCCTTAGTATCACTGTTATCATTCATTTCACTTATGTGTAAGCTACAATCATAAAATACATTATTATTATTTTGGAGACAGAGTCTTGTTGTGTTGCCCAGGCTGGAATGCAGTGGCGTGATCTTGGCTCACTGCAACCTCTGCCTCCCAGGTCCGAGTGATTCTCCTATCTCCGCCTCCTGAGTAGCTGGGACTACAGGTGCGTGCCACCACACACAGCTAATTTTTTGTATTTTATTTTATTTTATTTTATTTATTTATTTATTTTTGAGACGAAGTCTCGCTCTGTCACCCAGGCTGGAGTGCAGTGGCACCATCTCGGTTCACTGCAACCTCCGCCTTCTGGGTTCAAGTGACTCTTCTGCCTCAGCCTCCCGAGTAGCTGGGACTACAGGTGTGCGCCACCACGCCCGGCTAATTTGTTGTATTTTATTTTATTTTATTTATATAGTTCTGAGACAGAGTCTCGCACTGTCACCCAGGCTGGAATGCAGTGGCACTATCTCAGCTCACTGCAACCTCTGCCTTCTGGGTTCAAGCGATTCTTCTGCCTCAGCCTCCCGAGTAGCTGGGACTACAGGTGTGCGCCACCACGCCCGGCTAATTTTTTGTATTTTATTTTATTTTATTTATATAGTTCTGAGACAGAGTCTCGCTCTGTCACCCAGGCTGGAGTGCAGTGGCACCATCTCAGCTCACTTCAACCTCCGCCTCCTGGGTTCAAGCGATTCTTCTGCCTCAGCCTCCCGAGTAGCTGGGACTACAGGTGCGAGCCACCACGCTCAGGTAATTTTTGTGTTTGTAGTAGAGACAGGGTGTCACCATATTGGCCAGGTTGGTCTCGAACTCCTAGACCTCATCATCCGCCCGCCTCGGCCTCCCAAAGGGCTGGGATTACAGGTGTGAGCCACTGCACTCGGCCTTATATTTTATTTATTTTTTGAGGTGGGAGTCTTGCTCTGTCACCCAGGCTGGAGTGCAATGGCTCACTGCAGCCTCTGCCTTTTGGGTTCCAGAGATTCTCCTGCCTCAGCTTCCTGGGTAACTGGGATTACAGGTGCACGCCACCACGCCTGGCTTTTTTTTTTTTTTTTTTTTTTTTGAGAGATGGAATCTCGCTGTCGCCCAGGCTGGAGTGAGAGATGGAATCTCGCTGTCGCCCAGGCTGGAGTGCAGTGGTGCGATCTTGGCTCACTGCAAGCTCTGCCTCCCGGGTTCACGTCATTCTCCTGCCTCAGCCTTCTGAGTAGCTGGGACTACAGGCGCCTGCCACCATGCCTGGCTAATTTTTTGTATTTTTTATAGAGACAGGGTTTCACTGTGGTCTCAATCTCCTGACCTCGTGATCCGCCTGCCTCAGCCTCCCAAAGTGCTGCGATTACAGGCGTGAGCCATTGCACACGGCCTAATTTTTGTATTTTTAGTAGAGGTAGGGTTTCATTATGTTGGCCAGGCTGGTCTCAAACTCCTGACCTCAGGTGATCTGCCTGCCTGGGCCTCCCAAAGTGCTGGGATTACAGGTATGAGCCACCATGCCTGGCCAATTGTATTTTAGTACAGATGGGGTTTCACCATGTTTTCCAGGCTGGTCTCAAACTCCTGATGTCAGGCAATCCACCCACCTTGGCTTCCCAAAGTGCTAGGATTACAGGCGTGAGCCACTGTGCTCGGCCAATACATTGTTATTATTTTGAACAAACTATTGTCTGTGAGGTTAATTAAAAATAAGAAAAATAAGGCTGGGTGCAGTGGCTCACACTTGTAATCTCAGTACTTTGGGAGGCTTAGGTGGGAGGTGCTTGAGCCCAGGAATTTGAGGCTGTGGTGAGATATAATCCCAACACTGTTCTCTAGCCTGGGCAATACAGCAAGACACTCAAGACCCTGTCTTTTAAAAAAATAAAATATTTATTTTACTTTTACTTATTTCTTCTTAAATGGTATTCCTTTCTTTATGTAGGTCTGAGTTTCTGACGTGTATCATTTTCCATCTCTCTGAACTTCTTTCAACATTTCTTTCAGGGCAGGTCTACTGGCAAGAGATTCCTTTAAAAAACTTTTATTTTTTGTAAGAGAGTAATTTCTCCACTTTTGAAGGACAATCTTACAGGCTACAGAATTGTGGGCTGGAGAGTTTTTTTTTTTTCCTCTCAGCACTTTAAATATTTTACTCCACTCTGTTATTTTTCATGGTTTCTGAGAAGATCTGATGTACGGTGGTCCTCCCCTATCTTCAGGGGATATTTTCAAAAACCTCCGATGTATGCCTGAAACTGCAGGTGGTGTTGAACCTCATTGCCATTGGTTAGAATATGTTTCTGTTCATGTCTTCCACCCAAAAATGTAATGCCTTTTCCGTTTTCCTTTTTTTTTCCCCTTTTTGACAGGGTCTCACTTTGTCACCCAGGCTGGAGTGCAGTGGTGTTGTCATAGCTCACTGCAACCTCAAGCTCCTGGGCTCAAGTGATCCTTTCACCTCAACCTCCTTCGTAGCTGGGACCACAGGTGCATGCCACCACACTTGGCTAATTAAAAAAAAATTGTTTTAGAGATGGGTACTCAAGTCTTGCCCAGCTGGTTGCAAACTTCTGGCCTCAAGCACTTAGGCAATCCCCTTGTCTTGGCCTCCCAAAGTTCTGGGATGACAGGGATGAGCCACCTTCCCTGGCCCTTTTACACCTTAACTAAGCACTTCTGCACCGTGGTTGTAACTTTTGCAGTTTGAGGTGCAACAGCAAAACTAGCTGAATTGCTTTTTTTCTTCCTCATATGAATAGAAGACTCATTCTGCTGTAATCTTAGCAACCTCAGCATATGAGAGGGTTTTTCCTTATTAAGTGGAGAAGAAATTTCACATTTTCACATGAAGCACTTTGTAGCTTCTGTTTGGCATATCTGAATTGCCAGCGTCGCTACTCTCATGCTTTGGGGCCATGATTAAGTAAAATCAGGGTCAGTTGAACACAAGCACTACGATACTGCATCAGGGGATCTGACAGCAACTAAGTGACTAACGGGTGGGTAGCATCCGCAGTGTAGATATGCCAGGCGAAGGGATGATTCACGTCCGGGGTGGGATGGAGCAGGATGGTGCGAGACATCACACTACTCAGAACGGTGTAGTTTAAACATGAACGATTTCTGGAATTTTCTATTTAATACTTTTAAATATTGAACAAAGGTAACTGAAATGATGAAAAACTGCAGATGAGAGGACTACTGTGATTCCCATTATAGGTGAGGTTTTGTTTCCTGTTACTTCTTTCTTCTTTTTTTAAATTTATTTATTATTATTATACTTTAAGTTGTAGGGTACATGTGCATAACGTGCAGGTTTGTTACATATGTATACTTGTGCCATGTTGGTGTGCTGCACCCATCAACTCGTCGTTTACATCAGGTATAACTCCCAGTGCAATCCCTCCCCCCTCCCCCCTTCTTTCTTCCTTATATTTGATTTTCTGAAATTGGAATATGATATGCCTAATTGCAGGCTTTTTTTTTTTTTTGTGGGGGGCGAGGGGGCACTTATCTTGCTTGGTGTCCTCTGTGTTTCCTGGATCTGTGGTTTGGTTTATGACATTAATTTGGGGAAATTCTCCATCATCATTTCCTCAAATACGGCTTCGATTCTTCCTTCTCTTTTAGAGTTTCTATTATGCATATGTTACACCGTTTGCAGTTGTCCCATAGTTCTTGGATAATTTTTTTTCCCTCAATATTTTCTCTCTTTTTCAGTTTTGGACGTTTCTATTGAGATACCCACACACAATACTCATGAGCCTATTGAAAGCATTCTTTATTTTCATTACAGGAATTTTTATTTCTAGTATTTCTTTTTGATTCTTTCTTAAAATTTTCATTTCTTACATTATCCATCTTGTCTTGCATCTTGTGTACTTTTTCTCAATAAAACTGTTAGCGTATTAATCATAGTTTCTTAAATTCCTGGACTGATAATTCCAACTTCCCTACCATATCTGTCTCAGATTCTGATGCTTATTCAGTCTGTTCAAACTTTTTTTTTTTTTTTGCCATTTAATATACCTCATAATTTTATGTTGAAGGGTGGACATGATGTACTGAGTAAAAGAAACTGCCTTTCGTAATGTAGTGGTAAGGTGTTGGGGGAAGAGAAGCATTTTGTAATCTTAAAATTATGGTAAGCCTGTGCTTCTGGACTAAGAACTTAGTTCTTTTTTTTTTCCCCACCTTATGTGGGACAGGATGGCTAGAAGGGGCTGGAGTAGGATATTTCCCGTTCCCTTAGTGGAAGGCTAGAGCTGGCTAGAGTTTGGTATTTCCTTTCCCAAGGGTAGGTTAGGCTCTGGTAAAATATTTTCTCCTGAGGGCAGGCCTTGTTAAGAATGGAATACTCTGGTCTATTTTAAAAAATGGCTATTTTTATCTTAGCCCTTCCAAAAACACAGGGGAAGATTTCTCCAATACTCACTCTGAAAACAGGATAGAGCTCCTGAAGGTAAAACTCACAGAACCCTAGGGACACCCAAGACTAGAGTTTTGAACCACAGACTTGTCCACACTGAGCTTCCAGCTATTCATCAATTACAAGTTCTCCTGTCCCAGCACTGGTTCCTGCAGAGGTTTCTGCTTGTGGGTTTCTCTTCTGGTGCGCTGTCACTCACCGTATCTTCCTGTCTCATTTTGGGGGCAGTTGTTTGCCCTGTTACTGCACTTCTCTGAGGGATCTTACAAGAGTTTAGTTTGTTCAACTTTTCACTTGTTGTTAGGACAGAGTAGTGACTTCTAAGATCCTTGTAAGTCAGACTGGAAACTGCAAGTCTCCCTGCCATCATTTTCCATAATTTCCTTCTTCCTGTATTGATCTTAAATAACGTTGGCGACAGAAGATATTGGGCCGTTTTCCCAAGAAAAGAGTGAATACATCTAAAAAATTTCCTTTGAGTATATTACTTGCTGGTTTATCAAATGAATCCTTTATTACATCAGGAATGAAACCTTGGTGGCTCATGCCTGTAATCCTAGCCCTTTGGGAGGCTGAGGCGGGCAGATTGCCTGAGCTTAGCAGTTCGAGACCAGCCTGAGCAACACGGTGAAACCCTGTCTCTACTAAGATACAAAAATCAATGAATCAATCAAACCATTAGCCAGGCGTAGCAGTGTGTGCCTGTAGTCCCAGCTACTCGGGAGGCTGAGGCAGGAGAATTCCTTGAACCTGGGAGGCAGCGGCTGCAGTGAGCCAAGATTGTGTCACTGGACTCCAGTATGGGTGACAGAGCGAGACTCTGTTTCTTTTTTTTTTTTTTTTTTCCCGAGATGGAGTCTCCCTCTGTCCCCCAGGCTGGAGGGCAGTGGCACGATCTTGGCTCACTGCAAGCTCCGCCTCTCGGGTTCACGCCATTCTCCTGCCTCAGCCTCCTGAGTAGCTGGGACTACAGGTGCCCGCCACCACGCCCAGCTAACTTTCTATATTTTTTAGTAGAGACGGGGTTTCACTGTCTCTACTAAACGTGTTTCACCGTGTTAGCCAGTGATCTGCCCACCTCAGCCTCCCAAAGTGCTGGGATTACAGGCGTGAGCCACTGCACCCGGCTGAGACTCCGTTTCTTAAAAAAAATGATAAAAAGAAACCTTGTATCTATAGGCTTTTAATAAGCACTGAATTTCCTCAAATCCATTTGGCATCTATTAAAAAGAGTATGGAGGTATAGTAGGAGATGGGAAGAGGTGAGGTGATTGAGGAAGGGAAGTGAAGGGACATGTAATTAGCATTCTACTTTTATATCTTCAACATTGTTTTCTTGATTGTGTTTTTTTACTCTCATTGTTGTGAGAAATCATATGGCAAATAATACACTAAATCTGTGGAATTAACCCCATTTTTTCTTTTTGTTAATTGACACAATCACTGTACATGTTTATGAAGTACAATGTGATGTTTCAATACATGTATACATTGTATAGTGATCATATAAAGTTAATTAGCAAATCCATTATCTCAAACGTGTATCATTTCTATGTGACAAGAACATTAAAAAGTTCTCTCTTCTATTTTGAAAGATACTTATTAACTATAATCACCCTACCATGCAAGAGAACACTTGAGCTTATTCTTCATATCTAATGATAACATTGTACCTGTCCAACAACCCCCCCCCTTTTTTTTTTTTAAAGACAGGGTGACATTCTGTTGCCTGAATTCCTGAGTTCAAGCAGTCCTTCCACGTTACTCTGCCAAGTAGCTAGAAGTACAGATGCACACTACTATGCTTAAATTTTTTTTTTTTTTTTTTTTGGTAAAGACACAGGTCTCACTTTGTCACTATGTTGTTCAGGCTGGTCTCAAACTCCAGGACACAAGTGATCCTCCAGCCTCAGCCTCCCAAAGTGTTCAGATTACAGGCATGAGCCACACCCGGCCCCAACAGCTTTTTCTATTTTTTTTTTTTAAATGTCCAGGTTCACTTAGTATATTTCAGTTCCCAACAAATTTCCTTGAAGGACTGCTAGATGAAACCTTATCTACTGCAGTGGATTTTTATATCTGATCTCTGGTCTTTGATACAATTTTTACCCTAAGTATAATAAGCGTGTTCTTGTGTCTTATATCAATATTTTCTTCTGTGTTCTCTTTCCTTATTTCTATCCTCAGTTCCTCACGTTACATCTACAGGGCTCTTATTTAGGTACTCAGTAGACACAGAGTTGGTTTAAAGAAGAGGCAAGAAAGGAATTTAAAGTTTTATCTGTATTGACATAATTATTTTAATAGCTGTCTCACTGCCTTCCCTATCTTAATCTTTCATGTATCTTGTGTACCTACTGTATAGGTACAGATCTTGATCCACTGTTGAGATATGAATTAAATACTTCATCAAAGAAATGTACATTCTACTTTTCCTTAAAAGCTTACAGTGAGAGTGATAACAGATAACATTTTTCCCAAAGTGTCAATGTACATTTGACTGAAATGAAAAATACATTTTTAGATGTTACTGGGAATTTTAAAGTTATGTAAAAGTTGTTGGTACAAAGAATGCCCACATTCATCTTTGCTTATACCCATTTGCCTTATCATTTGACGTATGATTTTTTTTCCTGAAACATTTGAGAATAGGTTTTATATATTATGGCCTTTTACCGCTATACACTTAAGTGTAGGTTTCCTAAAGATATGAATTTTTTTTTTGAGATGGAGTCTCGCTCTGTCACTCAGGCTGGAGTGCAGTGGCACAGTCTTGGCTCACCGCAACCTCTACCTCCAAGGCTCAAGCGATTCTCCTGCCTCAGCCTCCTGAGTACCTGGGACTACAGGTGCATGCCACTATGCCCGGCTAATTTTTTTTTTTTTTTTTTTTTTTGAGACAGAGTCTCACTCAGTCGCCCAGGCTGGAGTGCAGTGGCGCGATCTTGGCTCACTGCAAGCGCCACCTCCTGGGTTCACGCCATTCTCCTGCCTCAGCCTCCTGAGTAGTTGGGACTATAGGCGCCTGCCACTACTCCCAGCTAATTTTTTTGTATTTTTCATAGAGACAGGGTTTCACTGTGTTAGCCAGGATGGTCTTGATCTCCTGACCTCGTCATCTGCCTGTCTCGGCCTCCCAAAGTACTGGGATTACAGGCGTGAGTCACCGTGCCCGGCAATGTTTTGTATTCTTAGTAGAGACAGGGTTTCTCCGTGTTAGCCAGGCTGATCTCAATCTCCTGACCTCGTGATCCGCCTGCCTTGGCCTCCCAAAGTACTGAGATTACAGGTGTGAACCACTGCGCCTGGCCAAGAGTATGAATGTATTTTTAAGGAGACATTTCATATTATTTCAAAATTCTGTTCCCATTTAAAAATGATGAAGTCCATTGTTAAAATTTAGCATGGAGAAAATTAGGGCTTATGTTTGGCAAACACATTTGATATTAAGACACTGTATTTTTCTTTACAACTTTCATTTTAGGTTAAAGGTTACTCATGTTACATGAGTAAATTGTGTGTCATGGGGGTTTGGCGTACAGATAATTTTGTCACCCAGCTAATCAGCATAATGCCCGATAGGTTTTTAATCCTTACCCTCCGCCCACCTTCCACCCTCAAATAGGTCCCAGAAAAGACATAATTGTATCAAATATGAGCTTCATAATAGTTCAGAGGGTAGAGTTGGAGTGAGGATCATAGGCTAGTTTTCAGAGAAACTGCTTTTTTTTTTCATTTAGAGTAAGTTACTGTAAGATGTTCCAAAGGCACTAAATGAACAGAATCTAATGTCTTTGTGCAATCTGATGAACACTTGCAGTGTTTAGTAGCAGCATTATGAAATTGCCATTTTTAGATAATTCTGGCAGTAAGTACCATTTAAATGGTAGTGACGAAGGCTAGCAACCTGTTCTTCACAAATACTTATCTTTCTGATAGCTCTGTTTTCCCCGCTCTTTCAATTACTTATATTTGCTCTTTCTCCTTATTTACCTATATCTCTATCTCTATTTGATCTTTTCTTAAGTTCTTCTGGGCATACTACTCAAGATTTCAGTCACAGCTGTGAAAGCTGTTACTGATATGATTTTTAAAAACTTCATTCTGTTGCTAAAGAAGGGAGAAATGGCCTTATTTTATTCGATACAGGAAAAATGAACATTCACTTCTTTTTGTTATCTTTCAGTTTCAGAGTCAAGTGGTGAGATCAAAGACTTTTTACCAAAAAATGTCATTTATGATGACTCATCCCAGTATTTGATCATGGAAAGAATTCTAAGTCAAGGCCCTGTGTATTCCAATTTTAAAGGAGGCTGGAAATGCAAGGATCATACAGAGATGCTGCAAGAAAATAAGGGATGTATTAGGAAAGTAACAGTCTCTCATCAAGAAGCCCTGGCTCAACATATGAATATCAGTACTGTGGAGAGGCCCTATGGATGCCATGAATGTGGAAAAACTTTTGGTCGACGCTTTTCCCTGGTGTTACACCAGAGGACTCATACTGGAGAGAAACCATATGCATGTAAGGAATGTGGCAAAACCTTTAGCCAGATTTCAAACCTTGTGAAACATCAAATGATACATACTGGAAAGAAACCCCATGAGTGTAAGGATTGTAATAAAACATTCAGTTACCTTTCATTTCTTATTGAACACCAGAGAACGCACACGGGGGAGAAACCTTATGAATGTACTGAGTGTGGAAAGGCCTTTAGCCGTGCCTCCAACCTCACTCGACATCAGAGAATTCATATAGGAAAGAAACAATATATATGTAGGAAATGTGGGAAAGCATTTAGCAGTGGCTCAGAACTCATTCGCCACCAGATTACACATACTGGAGAGAAACCTTATGAATGCATTGAATGTGGGAAGGCATTTCGCCGTTTCTCACACCTTACTCGACATCAAAGCATCCATACAACCAAAACCCCATATGAATGTAATGAATGTAGGAAAGCTTTCCGTTGTCACTCATTCCTTACTAAACATCAGAGAATTCATGCTGGAGAAAAGCTCTATGAATGTGATGAATGTGGTAAAGTTTTCACTTGGCATGCATCCCTTATTCAACATACGAAGATTCATACTGGAGAGAAACCCTATGCATGCGCTGAATGTGATAAAGCCTTCAGCCGGAGCTTTTCCCTCATTCTACATCAGAGAACTCATACTGGAGAGAAACCCTATGTATGTAAGGTATGCAACAAATCCTTCAGCTGGAGCTCAAATCTCGCTAAACATCAGAGAACACACACTCTTGACAACCCCTTTGAATATGAAAATTCATTTAATTACCACTCATTCCTTACTGAACACCAGTGAATTTACACTGCAAAGAAAAACTACGAATGTATGAAATTTTTTTTAAAGAAGTATAATGCCTTACTTTTACTTCGGAGAATTCTTGGAAAGAAGCCTTATGTGAGAGTGATGAATGTGAAGTAATATGGCCCACAATTTATTCAACATCCTGGAGGAAAAAAATCCAGAAATATGTGGAAAAGCCATTAATAACCGCTCTTTTTCTTTTTTCTAATAACAAGGTGAAATCGATATTGTTGAGAAGATTCTTCTTCCATCTGGAAATATTGAGAAGACTTCATTTGGTAGGATTCCCTTACTCTACATGTATAAATTCCTACCAAGAAAGAATACATATCCAATAGATTGGAGAAAGCCAGAGATTATTAGCCCTCATTCTGCAACTGTCAACCAGGACAGAATGCATGGGCAAGGGATGAGCTTTACAAAGATGTACTTTGGAGATCAGGATATTCATGTTTAAGTAAAGTGATACAAACACAGTGATTCGGGAATGCCTTCATTTACAATGCAATACTTAAATTTTAATACTCTCGTAAGAGAAAAAGCAACTGTATAAAAGAATGTAGAGTAACTGCAATATTTCAAACCTGTATCAGAGAACTACACTGTGGGAAAACTACCATTGTAACGAGTGTAGCAAAATCATCTTAGATATCTGAAAAATCATACTGGATGGAATCTGTGAGAAAGGGTTCTATTTTGAGGGAAGGGGGATTGCTTTTTGTTTTTTAAGTGAATTCAGAAAATGTTATAAATAAATCTTTTGGTTTATTATAAACCTTCTGCTTGCTGATTTTTTCCCACAGCATGTGATTCCGAAAGTGTAACTACAATATTGACATAAAAAAAAAAGAGTAGTGTTTTTTTTGTTGAAACATACAAACATAACTAGAAGTGTTTTTAGGTGTTTTATGGTTTTAACTTTCAGACCGAGTTTGGATTTAAGGTAATGCTAACTGACAGTTATCCTTGAATCTGACTATAGACAGTTGTTATTCAGTGTGAAATAAGTATAAATAAGATACATCACAGAAAATTACCAAGGTACTCCTCCTGTTTTGTTCCATGTACAGTAAAACCACTCTTTTGTAAGCATGTGTTTAAAACTGTTCTGGCATTATCAGCTGCCCAGCTGGCAAAACTCACACCATCAGGGTGAGTTGGCTTTAATGAGGAAGGTAAGCAATTTTATTTGTAGAAAGAGAAGTAGAGAATATGAATAGGAATGAATTTAGCATTAATGGCTGCATTGAGGGCACATCTGTAGAAGGTGTTATTAAATACAAGTAGTTTTGTAAGATCTGAAATTTATAAAAGTTTTAGCCCAAAAACACGTTATTTACATGAACTAGAGTTCTAAATACATTATTGGAAGTATATTTCTTCAAACCTGCCATTGGCATGCCATATTGGTACATACATTTAGTAGCTTCTCAACTTTCCGTAAGAGTTGTTCAGGAGGGGCTGATTATCTTACAATAGTGTACAGTCAAATACAAGCAGCATGCCTTACTACATATGGGTATGTAATACTTGATTTGGTTTTCTCAGGCAGCAATGGTTTGTATCAGGGTAAAAATCAAGTTACACTGTCAACAATATTAGGATATGAAAAATTTATTTATTTATTTAAGGGTATACTGGATTTCTCCCATTATCTGCTCCACATCTACTCTCCTTCCTACTGTTTACTCTGTGGGGATGCACCTCATGAACTATATTAGAGGTCATCAAGCTACAGCCCATGGGCCAGGTATTTCATTTACATAGTCTATGGCTCCTTACCTCTACAACTGAAGAGTTTAATATACTGCCATAAAGGCTAAACATTTACTATCTAGCCCTTTACAGAAAAACTTGGCCAACCCCTGACTACATCAAATCTTTGCGCTCTAGTTTTTGTTTAGTGCAGCCAACATTGAGAACATTTATTTTGGAGCAATCTCCAACTGAGCAAAGTGACACAAACAATGATTTTGGAATGCCTTCATTTACAATGCAATGCTTACATTTTAATACTCTTGTAGGAGAAAAAGCAACTGTATAAATGAATGTAGAGTGACTTTCTGCAGCATTTTGAACCTACTTCAGAGAATTACACTGTGGGAAAACTACCATTGTAATGAGTGTAGCAAAATCTTCTTAGGTATCTGAAAAGTCATACTGGATGGAATCCAGTGTCCAATCTTTTGGCATCCCTGGGCCACAATGGAAGAACTGACTTGGGCCACATATAAAATACATGAACACTAATGACAGCTATCAGTTATTGTGGCTCAAGAAAATTCTTCTGGTGTAGCCCAGGGAAGCCAAAAGATCGGATACCCCTGATTTAGAAGGAGATGTAAATATTAGAATGAATTATTATTATGTTCATTTTGTTCCCTTAGCCAGAGAAAGGCCAAAAGACGCTCCCATCAGGGTATTAAGAAATACATTGTACCACTATCCTTGGACAACTGTGTGGTACCTACCCTCTCTAGACTGTAGATGATGCAGAACTTCTATAATGAAAGTAAGATCCCAATTTCAGTAGAGATCATGGGATCTTGGTATGGGAGGGGTTGGGTAAAATTCGCACCAGAGTCCAGGGGATGCACTGGTAATGAGAATTTTAACCATAGAGGTGGCAATGGCTAAATGATCATGGGGTTCCTAGAAATAAATGGATAGGCCACAAATGTACTATCTGACATATGGTTGAAGCCAGTTCAGTCTTAAATATTCTCAACTGAGGGAGAGGCAGGTCCCTTTAAGAAAGACTATTGCGGTAGGGGGCAGGGGGCTCATATGTATACTGTGAAAAACTGCTAACTTCTATTTTCATACTGAGCTAAAATATCCTTCAGAAATAAAAATGTTTCGGAATAAAAACAATGGAGGAAACATGGCAGCATGCTTATGCTGAAAGAAATACTAGTTTTTCAGGCAGTATGAAATCTTAGAAACTTGGAAATGCAGAAATAAAGAAGTAACACTGGAGGGGTAAATATGTTTATAAATACAAGTCAGGTGTTGGGAAATTATGGTCTATGGACCAAATCAAGGCCTTTAAGCTAAGAATGATTTTAACATCTTTAAAAAGCTGCTTAGAAAAATAAGAATATGCAACAGTGACCATATATGGCCTGCAAAACCTAGAATATTTACTCTCTGGACCTTCAAAGTTTGTCACAACTCTGATAGAAATATTGACTTTACGTAAGAGTATCTGGTGGATTATAAAATACACATCAAACTAAATAGCACAACAATAGCACAAGAAAGGAGGAAGACGGTTAAAAGATGAGTCTGGGAACATTGTGAAAGTAGTAAAAGTATTAATTTGGCTCTCATAATCTGGGGGCTAGTTAAGTGTGTTCTATTTGGGGAAATTCGTAAAGCTGCATGCCTTTATGTATTATTATGTATTACGCTTCAGAAAAAAAAGTTTTTTTTAAAAGAACTCTCCCAGAAGATTAATCCTCAGCATTGGAAAAAGCAGTTACTATGAATGCAGAAAGGGGATAGAGCAGTATTAGTAAAGAACAGTTGTGGGAGAATGACCACAATTCTGTATTTTTTTGGAAAGCAACAATCAAATGCTTTGGGAAACTTAAGATACTCACAAATAGGTAAAGCTGGGTTAACTTTTGTTGCTGTGATGTGCCCAAAAGAATTTTCTATGATACCTCAATGTTTCTAAGGACAGGGGGCTAAGTGATTCATGCCTGTAATCCCAGTACTTTGGGAGGCTGAGGCAAGCAGATCACTTGAGGTCAGGAGTTTGAGATCAGCCTGGCCAACACGGTGAAACCCTATCGCTACTAAAAATACAAAATATTTGCTGGGTGTGGTGGTGCATGCCTGTAATCCAAGCTACTTGTGGAGGCTGAGGCATGGAGAATTGCTTGAACCCAGGAGGTGGAGGTTGTAGTGAGTCGAGATTGCACCACTGTACTCCAGCCTGGGCAACAAAGCAATATTCCATCTCAACAAAACAAAACTAGAAAAAGAAAAAGAAAAAGAAAAAGGACAGGAAATTTGTTAAATCCCTCTGAAGAGATCCAAGAAATTTCAGAGCAAAAAGAGGTACCAAAACCTGCATATTGGGTACCAGTGATTTGGAAGAAAGGGTCCAAGTCCTTAGCAATAGTTTAAAAAGTCTGCCTTTAAAAGGCAGGACACAGACAAAGTGGCAAAAACTGTAAAAAAAATTATCTGGTATGTTAACAATTCTTTAAAAAAAAAAAAAAAAAGGCAGAAAGATTGCTTGAGCCCAGGAATTTCATACCAGCCTAGGCAATGTAGTGAGACCCCATCTCTACAAAAAATATAAATAAAAAAATTATCCAGGTGTGATAGCACATGCCTGTGGTCCCAGCAACTGAGGAGGCTGAGGTAGGCGGATCACATGAGCCCAGAAGGTTGAGGTGGCAGTGAGTTGAGACTGTGCCACTACACTCCAGTCTGGGCAAGAGTGAGACACTGGCTCAAAAAAAGGGAGAAATAAATATTACAGAAATAAGTTTTTAAAATAAATTCTGCATCATGAATACCCACAGTATCACAAAGGACAAAATTACACAGAAAAAATGGATATTGCATCAAAAAATATTTTAGAAAAATCAAAACTTCCATGAAACTGTGCTCATAGGTGGAAAATATAATTTTATGTGTTTGACATGCATTTCTTAAGTTAGAGGTGAATTTAAGTCGTGACATGTATTAGCCATGAATTTCCTGTTTATGCTAAAACAAATCTCATTGTCTTTTAAAAAGTGAATGCAACTTATGAAAAGATTAAAAAGGAAACCCAATAACTATAGAAAATTTAAAAATAAAGAAAAATTAAAAAGTGAATACTAAGGAAATTAGTTTTCGGCATTCAAATTTCATACATGAACTATTGCAAATAAAAAGCTTCCTAGTCTTTCAAGATTTTTTTATACAAAAGTGTGATCTTTTTATTTTATTTATTTATTTATTTTTGAGACGGGGTCTCGCTCTGTCGCCCGGGCTGGAGTGCAGTGGCCGGATCTCAGCTCACTGTAAGCTCCGCCTCCCGGGTTTACGCCATTCTCCTGCCTCAGCC